GCATTGGCTTGGCCGAGCAACACTCCTCGGGCACTGGAGACTGGACTTGCCGAGTAGCATAGCTCGAGCATTGAACGAACTGAGCAGTGACTGATTGCACATGACTGGCCGAGCAACACTGCTCGGACATTGGGGACTGGATTAGCCTAGCAACGTAGCTTGCGCATTGGCTAAACATCTTGGGAAGCACCTCCTCTCTTTTTTTTTTTTTATCTGCACATCTTGGGCTCTTCTTCTGGTCTTGTCGTGGCGGGTCTTCTTCTTTCCCCGATTTGCTCACATGGGTAGCTCTTGGTGGGGTCTCTTGTGTGACTCATTGTGCTTTCTTGCCACTAGTGCCTTTGTAGCAACATGCTGGTTGGCCCGTTGGAGCATCTTGGGAACGGTCGATGATGATCTCTCGACCAGCGACCATAAGAACCTTGAAGGTCTTAGACTCGTCAAGAACGCCTACATAACCAAAGAGGGGTGGGCATCTGGAACCCCTCGGATCTCAGTGGCAAAGTGGGCAACGAAGAGGGAGAGAGATTCATCCTCCTTTTGCCTTAGCCCGAGGAGCATGGTTGCGGACGGTTTAGGTCGTGCACGGGCTAAGAAGTGAAGCTCGAGTTCCCTTGTAAGCTGATCAAAAGACGAGACCGATGACGGCCTCAATCGATTTTATCGCATCCAAGCCGGGCCTCGAAGGGTGGTAGGAAATTCCCAACACATCAGGGCGTCAGAAGTGCCATATAGGGTCATCTAGGCTTGGAAGGTGGCGACATGCTTTGCTAGATCGGAGCCACCATCATAGGCCTCCAGCGTTGGGAGGTGAAAGTTGAGGGGGATAGGCCTGTCCTGAATTTCTTGGGCAAAGGGAGACCCTATCAAGGTATTTTCCCTGAGCTCCTCCTTGGATTTATGGAGTTCCCTTTAAACCTCATCCATGCACCGATTTGCCAACCGTAATTGGGCCCAAAGCGAGTCGTCCGCCAAGTCGAGCGATAGGGTGTTGGCTTCGGGGAAGGTCAAGGCACCACATATGGGCATAGGGACATTGTGCTCTGTCGCTAGCCTCGGGTGTCTCGATTGCTCCCCGATTGGGGAGTGAGCATTTGGAGCCAGAGGTGGTTGGTTGACCGGGGTGGCATTGTGAGGTGTAGGGATGAGCGTAGGTTGGATCACGGGCGATGGCCGTGGGGGGCAAATTGTCTGCTAAGCTAGTTGGGGTATGAGAGGTGCGATGGTTCGCATCATCCCAACTAATGCTTGCACTTGGCGGGTGAGGCTGAGGAATGCCTCGGTTGAGACAGCAAGTTGCCCCGTGATATTCTCAGGAGGTGACAACCCGAGATCAATGAATAGCCGCCAATAGCGGCTCGGGGTCGCGGCCGAGATATTCTCTTCTATGCTTGGAGGAAGTGAGAGTTGCCCTCCAAACCCAAAGGTCGGGTGAGTCGGGGGTCGCTCTTCTCTGGGATGCTCTCTCGGGTTGCTCGATTGGGGGCGTCCTTATGACATCGAGCCCTCCTTCTAGCGCCAAAATGTTGGTGAACCTTTACACCGTGGCCGAGGTATCAGCACGGCTTGGTTTAGTCCCAAATGTACAAGGTTGCCCATGTGGATGCTCGGGTGGTGAGGCCAAGCATCGGGTTGAGTCAGGTTCGAGCTTCGTCCCCCGAGCGCGGTCTTCTCTCTTGGCAAGTGGCCTGCTTCTCGGGTGGTGAGGGCGAGCATCGGGTCGGGTCAGGTTCGAGCTTCATCCCCCGAGCGTGGTCTTCTCTCTTGGCGAGTGGCCTACTTCTCCACCGCTGGACTCCTGCACACAGGTCGAGGTCGGGAGGGGGATTTCCCGACTCGACCCCTCCAAAGCTTATATTAACTTTTGGTGAAATGAGATATAGTTGAGTGTTCGATGTCCCCTCCTTCCTGATTAAGGGGGGTTAGCTTTTATACCTGCGATGATGAGTTGGTCGTACGGGGTCAAATAACTACGATCGGCTTCTCGAGCGACCGACTTTAGTTTCTGTACGAGTGTGACCGACCTACACAGATCGGCGTCGCGCGACGCCGCCCTGAGCTTTTCGGGACGGTTGTACCGTGATTATGTCTTTCGTATAGAGGCGGCGGCAAGCGACTGCCCGTCACGTATGTGTTGCGCGCAACATCGTACTTGAGGTTTCACGTTTGCATCATCGTGTCTGCTTACTTGGATCCACATGGACAATACCAAAATATGCCCTATCAAGATTGATCCAAGGATAAATGGGTTAATTATTTTATCAGTTATACGTTTTAAAATAAGATTATAATATTTTTGATACCTTCATAGAAAAGAGAGAGAGAGAGAAGCATTGAGTTTCTACTATATACAAGTCATTGTCTAAGGTATTCGTCATGTGTCGCATTCAAAATAGGGATACATGACATTAGTTGAAGTGCAAATGAGTCGGAATGAGTTGGTCAAGGAGAAGGAATTTATTACATGTCAGTATCAACGAGAAAAGAATGAGATAAAGACGGTGTTAGAGAAAACTAAATATTTTTCTTCACATTAAATGCATTAAATATTTTTCTTCACATCTACTCTCCACTTCCTCTTCACTTTCTCCAGGCAAAAGAGAAGGCTGTGGATCAAGTCATGAACTAAACCTCTCTTTGATCTGTTTTCATTTAATTTTGGTATTATTTCATGTCCTTAGATGTCGTTTGACATGTATTGCTAATGCAGGTAGCTCCAAACATTCAAACATGACACCTTACCTACTTGTCATATGTAGTGATAAATATGTGCAGTCTTAAACAATTTGAGTCAAAAGTCTTACTTGATGGTCTGTGAGCCAAATCTTCTGGAACTCCAAGTTTTGTCTGGTGACAGATATACATTGTATGAACACATGATTTCAATAAACCAAGTCAGAATCTGTGAGCTAAATGCATTGGAGAGGTAGTAATATTTCAACAGCATATCATGCATAGAAAGGAAAACAAAAGCCTTCTGTCAATGGTCCATAGCAATTCCACAAATATGATAGCAAATTGGATTTACTGTTATTTAATTTTCCAACATGTAGTAGTTACTAAGCAACTAGTATACTACTCGGGTTATCATGGAAAGAAGAAATACTATCGCTAACTTGGATTTAAATTTTGGATCAATGATTCAGACTCAATAAAATTAATAAGTTCAGGACCAGATTGCACCTATATTACCATGTTGATCAGAAGAATTGCATGTAACTTTCATATTTGAACTTGACGGGGAGAGTCTTTTATGGCATTAACAATTAATCCTCTCAACAGACCACTTGAGTCGTACACAATTGACTCATGCATCATCGAGCTACTTTGTACACAGTTTAATTGTATCAAGATGCAGAAAATGGCCAAGTTCAAAGAATGGTGTGGGGCTAGGGCTACTATGCAGAGAGATAAAGGACAGGCACCAGAAACTAGGTGACTGAAATGTCAAGCAATAAAAGCTTAGTTTAGTCACTTTTTCTTGCAGATCACATGGAAGTAGGCTTTTGCTGGAAATTAATGGTAAGTGAGAGGCCTCTTACCAATTTGTTGAGCATGGGGTTTATCAACACATAAATGAAAGACATCAGATTGGAGAGAGAGATTTCAGATTAGCAAGTGATGGATTCAGCTGGAAGTAACATGCACATGACATGGGCAGACTTAAATGTGAAGTGATTTCAGAAGAGGGAATGCTGAGAGGTGCAAAGGCCCTCTAAGTTAGGGATGTGAGGAAAAAAGGTAGGGTCATGAAACAATAAGAATACAGGAGGTGAGGACAAGTTTTCTTGGCAGCTATATTCTTGCAAGATACAAATTTATCAAAGGCAAGAAAGATGCTACAATGAAATGATTGTGATGAAAGAAAGTCTCCATCTTGCCAAACAGGAAGGACTGGATAAGATCAAACCAAAGGTTCTCTCATATTTATAAGGAGGCTGACAACTAGGTCATCTAATTTTTGGAGAGGTGAATGGCTGCAATGACTAAAATTGTTGAAGTAATATATACCTTTCAAAAAAGAAAATAAAAGAATTTGAACGGCTTGACTCACTGAATAAACCACACTGCATGGAAGTCAGTAAAGAAAAGAGGTAATTTGTTTAGTGGTGTGTCCATTGATGAGTAAAAAGTATAGATCAAGTCTGGTCCACTGTATTCAATTGGCAACTTGGAGGCTAGCTGATGTAACAAGGAATTAATTCCATGGTACAAAACACATTAAATGAGAAGATGATACAATTGCTTCAGACTCTGCTCTGATCTAATTTGCGGGTCCCTGAAGAGGAGAGCACTTCTTGAAAATTCATGTTTCGTAAAATTCACTTTTCTGACAAAGACTACTTGAAGATGCCACTAAAAGTGTCCTTTTCAGAAAATAAATTGTTTGTTTTCATCCATATCAAAACAAGCAAATGAGCATATGAGGAGAAATATAAAACTCATGTAATGAAATGAGCATTTTTTCCATTTTCTTCAACGTTTCTTTTTATCACTCTTCATCTACTTCTTCTGATTATTTTTGGGAATGCAATTGTTAAGAATTTTTTGGGCTGTCCAAGTATGGATCAGCCAAACAACACCAAGTCCATGACACAGAATTAAGATGATCTTATCCAAAGTGAATGACAAGAACAAAGTATAAATTGAGATACACTAACATTACCATTGAATAAGCAACCAAAGGAAGAGCATTTTGGCTATTTTTGTTCAAGGTAATGATAAAATAACAAACAAAATTTGCTTAACATCTTAAGATTTCAAAGGCCTTTTCTTACATGTCAACCTTTAGTAAAGAAAACCAATGAGATACCAGAAACCAAGAATGCCTTCTAATTAGTTCCACATTGGTTAGGAGTTAAACAGTTAGGACCATATAAGAGCTGCCAAGTTACTACTCTTCTTATGGCCCTTTTGGATGGATCACAAAGAACAAAATCATGCTGTTCATATTATAAAATGGATAATATCTCAGAGATATAGGGAGCAATAATTTTCCAATTAAAAATAACTTATTGTCAATAGTTTTATGCAAAGCAAACATTTCAACAATAATTATCCATGAAATTAACTTGGATTGCACAAAATAGCCAAAGACATGCATCACAATCATCCCTGTGCACATTTTTTGTTTTCTATAGTCCAAAAACTATATTATTGCAAGAAAGGACATCACAGTTACAATAAAAAAGGATGCTAGTTTTTGTTTGCTCATTAACAGCTAAAAATTACACACATCGTAAGATAACCCATCAAGTCTGTGCACATTTTTGTCTTCTATGGGCTGAAACTTAGAATTTATTGCAAAAAAGGACATCTCACAGAATCAGAAAAAGACAAGAAGCTTGTTTCTTTCTGCACATTAGCGGCCGAAAGTTATGCTGAAAGACAATCTATCAGGTCAGAGAATCTAAACATCACTATTGTGGAGTACATTACGTCATTTTAAAATAATTTGGATGCAGATTCTTTTGGAAGTTGCCGCATAAACTCAAATGATTATCATGATCTGAAATCGTCTTCAAGGGGATAGTCTAGTGATTGAGATGCAATGCATGCAATCTTGATGTCGTGATTGCAAATCCTGTTCTAAGCATTTCATATACATGTTATGTGATATTTGAATGGATAGAGTAAATTAAGGAAAAACATGATGTAAAATCACTTAGTTAAAGATAATAATTTAACTCAACCTTATGTCTAAAAAGTAAAGGCAGAAGACCCGTGCAATGAAAAAACAAATGAGAAATATTACACCAGTAGGTAGAGATTAACATACATGTAGCATAGCTTCCTTCTACTTGATTTTAAAGGACAACAGAAAAGCATAATACCTATCCATTTTTTGCTTGATTGGATGCAGAAAAAAAACATAAATAGCACATTTTTCCTTCAAAGTAAGGAAATATAAATCTTATCATCTTGTTTTATACTTTTTCCTTTTTTAGCTGAAGACTTGTTTATTGCTTAGATTATATGCTACTCCATATCACTATTATTATTATTTTTTTGAAGCATGTTAAACATGGTATAGATTGATCATTCATTCCAAACATGCTCTAGATCTAGGTGTAGATCCACTCAAGATCCACGTGGATATGCGGAACTAGCCTGGATCAGTGCTGATGCAACCTAGCTCAGCAATGATTTAACTTAGATCTACATGAATCTAAGTTTTATCCACAGAGATTTGGCCTAGATCTGCATCACCGATCTGATTTCCTGAAAAAACTACATATTGCCTTTGATCTAGAATGCAACATCAATATTACATAGTTGTTGGACTATTGACCTTATAGGATTTGGGTTAGTTTAATGTCCCTGCTTTTCTACCATCCATTCTTTTGATGTAAATCCTTACCCTCAAGTTGCCTGTCTACACTAGAAACAACTACTTCCGATGGCCTGATTCCACATGCTTCTTAGAAGAGGTGCATGAGGCTTTAAAAATAGTTGAGTTTATTGATGGAGAAGGAATAGGTTAGATCAAAAGCTCTGAGCTCAAGACAGTTAAATTTGTTCAAAGCCCAGAAACACATTGCTGATAAACATCTACTTTGATGAGAAAAGTAAAAAATATCTATGGACAATAATCAACTTATTCCCCTTGTGGATATCCTTCTTTGAGCTCTTTTGTTGTTGGATGGATGGCATTTGAATTTCTAGATAAGAATGGAATTTGTTGGATGAACTTCCTCTACAATTTTCTCAAGACAAGAATGGCAATTAGAGAAGGTGCATCAGTAGCATTAAGAATATAGTTAGCTTTGTCTGACATCTAAACATATACTAGTATTTATCACAACATTAGAAAGATAGCCACTTAGGGAAGAATATAAAGAAGAAAATGAAATACAAAATTGAGTATCACCATGTTTGAACTCCACCGACCAGGTTTTCCTCCTGGCTGTCTAACTTAACCTAATACATGTATGGGATAAACCTGAATCTAAGATAAAATAGCTGAGTAGTCCATGATGACTATGGTAAGTTGCACTTCATGGAAACTTAGACTTAGGTGTATCAAGGATATTGCCTGTTTTGCCCAAACAATCAAGAGACTGGAACAGAGTCGGCACACTGACACAATTGCCTACTGTTCCAGTTGCATGGAATCCCATTTCACGAAGTAAGCAATTCTCACCTTTGCAGACAAGAAATAGAAACTATTGACTGCCAAATGAAACTTTATGCAACAGTATGCATCGTATGCAGTATCTATGTTAGACACGTTTGATTGAGTTGTAAAAATTATATGCATGGCCGGGCTTGTTCATATAATCATGAGCACCTTGATATTCCAGCAAGTCTAATACATACAAAGAAATATACATATATCACTAATATATTATGCTCATGCATTCATTAAATATGTATGTATTATAGCAGGTCTAATACATACAAAGAAATATACATATATCACTAATATATTATGCTCATGCATTCATTAAATATGTATGTATTATATCTTTTTTATGCAAATTGCTGATCTACACAGGTACACACTTCACGAAACTAAAAAGAAAATGCATACAAAAGTTTCCAGCATAGGCTGTCAATTTATCCATTCCTTCAGCCACAATTGTCTGATTATGGGAATCTCTTGTCACCACAACTTCTAACAATGTAGTATAAAATCTCACAAATTCACAAAGATCAACAAGAGATCTTTTTTGTGGAATTATTCTTGACAAACTAATGGACCAGATTCCTAAAAATGAATATTTTATCCTTCATTTGCGTAGAACATTAGCGACAATATCCCATTTTAGCAAGACCGAGAACTAAAATTGAACTTAAAAAAAAAGAAGATTCTGATCAGATTTAAACTCTCTGTTCAACAAATTAAAAGCATGCATACAGAATGGGCACAGTTCACGCATGGCAACAGACAAAGAACGTAGACTGACAGAATAACAATAAAATAAGCAGAGATAAATCAGATGCGAAAACAAAAGGCATAAGAAAGAACTGAGATGGACCAAATCCATCATCACACTCAAGCCTTTCATCAGTCCGTACGAAATTTAATGCTAACGACAGTAATATTGAGCAAACAGTTACCTCTGCTGCGATATGACGAACATCAAATCTGCGACAATCAATCGAGATTTGATTCAACTGTGTCATATCAATCAACCCTAGCAACAGACTTGTACCTTTTCTCAGTACGCGATAATTTATGTTCACAAGAAGAGAGATAAACAGAGAGGAGGAGGAAAGATGGATCTGGAGATGGATGGATGCGGAAGTCTGGATGCAGAGGTTTATCGACCGATTCCAGCTTTGTACCCTCAAAAAGCAAGAAAGAAACTGATCAAACCCACCACCACGAAACAGACCAACAAGGCCAGGAAGAGATCGATAAACCGCTGCGCCCAGAGATCACTCGATTCGCGAGAAGAAGAAGCAAGAGGAGATCTGAGATTGGAGATGAGAATCACTTACTGCGGAGCTCCTCCCGTGCCGCTTAGGATCGAGAAAGGCGATTATAGAAGGCATGTGATGTGAGGGAGAATTTGAACTAAAAATGATCATGAAAAGGAAGGATTAGAAAGAGGAGGAAGCGATGATGATGGTGATGATGATTACGCGAAGCCGATATGATTTGATGGGGAGTGGAGTATGTGGGAAGAGAAAGGACATCTGAGCTCAGCATGACGTTTTGCATGTCTAGCTAGAACAATTTTTTCTACCCGCATTAAACACACCGTGCGTAAATAGAGATACAGGTGGAGCCCACTTGATTGTTCTACGATATCTCGGCGTAGACGCTACGGGTATTGCGACAAGTAATTTTAGAAAATTCGGCATAACAACTTTCGTTGACCGGCAGGACTCTACACATATGGGCGGAGCGCGAGTTTGGGATCATCACGTGATGGATGCAGATTACCTGTCTCACTCAAGTCAGGCAACACCTCAGGTCCCACGTGGTTTAACCATGGTTCACGCATTACATGGGCTTCAGCTCCACAACAATCGTATGAGTTCCCGTGTTTCCTGCAATTATCCGTGCAGGAAAAGATCGCTCTCGCCTTGGGTAAGCGGAGCCAATCGACGTGGGTTCGGATTTTGGACTCAATTCCAGGGTTCGGATCCACCGACCTATAATTTGTGACCGTTATTGGGCCATAACTACCTTCTTTGGAGTATTGCAGGATACGGACGCGGATCCAAATTGCATTAACCCAATACCTTTATTTATTGGGATGATTCATGGGTCGAAAATATAAGTAATATGATACTACCCTGAAATTTCACATGTTAATAAAATAATATTTACCACAACAAGAAACAGACGTAAAATGGTAGCAGAATTGCTGCCAAGGATAAATGTGTTAGAATGTGATGCAAGGTTGCAAACCGGGGTTGGTTTTGTTCTTGTTTTGCAAACAAGGCAACAGTCATGATACATCTTACAGAAACTTCACCATCAGATAAATATCTACGGTTAACACAAGCATCGGTTCAGTATAAACAAATAAAACCATTTTGAGCTGCTCTGGGTTGGAATCCTTCACTTTGGATGAGGACTGGTGAAGAAATAGTTCATTGTTGGGATGATTGCAGGTTTCTGTACCGCAAGAACTTCCGGAGGCCATGCTCTGCATATCTGTGTCCTTCTTCATGGTTGTTGATCACCCCTGAAGTCCTGCTTGCCTTGTTAACCCTGTGATCCAATTGATGCACATTAACATGGAAAAATATAGAAATGTGAAGGATGAATCCATTGTGTTTGTTGTAAAGCAGAGGAGATTGAGAGTTTTGAAGCAGTATCAGAATGAGATCGTCACTGCGCACATTAACATGGAAGATATGCCAAGGAAAGCATACTGGGGAAGATGAAACCATTGTGTTTGTCATACATGTGGTAAAAGATCAATCAATAAATTACTGCTCAAAATCCAGACTACAACATGAACAAGTGCCCATCTGGATTACTGCAGAAACAATTAGTCAGCAAACAAGCGCAATGCCTCTGCAAACCAGAGGAAATTAGAACATGAGAATTGAAATAAAACTACATAATTCTAACTCAAATGAAAAGAAATAATTAAAGATATTATGAAGCGTGAAACAGGAGCTAAGCTATGATCTTTCGACTGAGAAAATCATGATCGAAAACAACATCGAATGTTATGCTATTTGAAAATAGTTACTCCTACAAAGTTTCGATGTCCAATCTCCCATTTTGATTTCTATATATATTTCAAAAGAGATTATGAATTATATTCTTTGAGTCTTTTTTTTTTCATTTATCGCTATATAAATAAAAAAAACACTAATGATACCATCAATCCATATATTTTCTTTAAACTCAAATTTAAAATCTCATGAGTTTAAAATTAAGAAAACCTATAATATCATATAATTTGCATATTATCACATGACAATAAAACCTTGCTTCTAAAGTGACATAACAAAAGGATTCAAATATCTATATACGATACCAAAAACATTTGTCAGAATATATATGCGGCATTCGATCGAAAAGAGAAGCAGGAAGAAGAAGCAATCCGACCTGACACCGGGGTTGGTGTACACGTTGAGGACCAGCGCACATCCACACGGCAAATCCGACCGCCGCAAACAGCGGGTACGCCTGATCATAACAACAGTGCGTGAGGAGCAGGAGGAAGCACAAGGAACGATCACAAGACCGAGGAAACCACAAAGACCGAGCACGGAAGAACTCCAAACCTCGTGCCTCATCCAGCGAGTCATGGTGGAAGCAGAGGAGGAAGAAGCAGCAGCGGTGGAAGCGAGCGATCGGAGCTGGAGACGGGAGCGGGGTTGGGGTTGGGGTGAGGTGAGGGCCGCGAAAGGGAAGTTAAGGGCGCCAGAAGGGAGATGGTTGTCATTTGAATTGAACGCACGAGGACCGTTGGATGAGACTTCAAGGGTCCAGGATTTTCTTGGTATCAAAACGGAAGCCGAGCGGTTTCGTTAAAATTAATTTGGCCATTTTCGTTTTTTTTATTATCCATTTTGTATTTCCGACAATTATGACATTTTTTTTGTTGAGAACAGATAATTAATTTTTATTTTACATTATAATTACTAAAACCAGATTAAATCGGAATGAATCAGTCGAATCAGAATGAGCATTCCTTTTCTTAATTTGTCCAAAATATATTATATTTCTATATTTTATTAGATCAAATCAAATAATAAGGGATTTTTTCTAAAGATATTATAAAGAACTAAACGGATTTTAACATAAAATAACAATATTATAGATTAAGAAGAAGGAGTGCAGACGTTAAATCGACCATCCGATTAATCATATTGTTTTCCCTATGTAAATTTCATACAAATCAAAACAATTCAGTAAATATTTAATGTTTGAAATAATGATTCGAGCCTTTTAAGGTGCGTCCCATCTTAAGCATGCAAATGAAACTTTCGGAGTAACATTCAATTTGAATAAGATGGATGTCATAATAGGTGAGTAATTATTATTCTTGAAAGAAAAAAAAAATAAAAAGAAAATATATGCACCTGAGTTTTATTTATTAGAACACCAAAACTATGAATAAGGGATTTGGGCTCGACACGACAGAGAGGGCAAGAACAGGAATCTACCACAAACAACGTCACAAAGCTACATTTGGAACATGTTTATCTAGAGAGGATAACATAAATTTATTGGCAAACTTGATGGAAACAAATTCGATTAACAAATTCGATTAACACAGACATTACAGAAGATGACTTAATCGAAGTAACGTCAGAGAAAATGTTCAAGAACAACATGCGTGTCAACCGAAGTACTCACAAATTTAATGAAAACAATTCAAATATTTTCAAGAGTAGAAACTATTTGAAAGTTTAATATTATTCCGATGGATTAGGTTTCTGACATGGTTCTTTCAAGTTAGTACCTTGGATGAAGCTGAAAGAAGTAATGCTGAACAATATTTGACCTTGATTATTGTGGTATTATTGATTTTTTGTATAATCGGTTCAACTAAAGAAAATATTTTATGGAATGGATAATTTTTTTTAGATATTTTATATTTAATGAATGCTAACACGATTTAGTTGTTAATTGGATCTTAGTCTCCTTGTGTTGATTCGATCACATCCTCACGAAGGGTTTAGAGAGGTATTGGGTCACCATGTATTAGTATAGATATTATGTTGTCTTAGCTTGTTTCAAGATCAAATACCTCAAGATAGAGATTAAGGAAGATCCGTGCACTAAGTACCTTGAAGACTAAAATGTTCTGATAGCTACTCAGGTCCCCTTTAACGATGACCCCAACTCGTCACCTTACCTTGATGCTTAACATATTATGTTAACTTTCATTGAGTCATCGAATTTGTTTACCCGACTTAGTCTTTTTGTTTTTACTTTATTGCATCATTGGACTTGTTTTTTGATCAGTTATTTACTTCGGTAGGTCAAGGTCGCATCTTGGATGTATAAGTTTGATTGAGTTAATAGTCCTTTTAAAGTAATTTTTTTTTTTCACAGCTTGCAACATCTATACCTTAAATATATTTTTTTTATAACTGACCCCAATGACATGGAAGACCAAGGCTTGATGCTTGTTAGATAGTCATCTCGACTCGACTCCAAGGGATGCCTTAGGGGTATAATTCTTTAAGCTTGCAATATGTCAAGTCCTCAACAACACCACTCTCTTTGTTATTTTAAAGTGATATGTTCCATCTCAGATGACCTCGATAAGATCCTTCCCATTTTGGCATTAGCTTATCCCGTGATTCAATTGGGCCATTAACTTTAACTTTTCAAAGTTCCAAGTCTCTCAATCTAACTCTCCGAAGTCGAATACCTCAGTTGTAAAACTTGGTCACCACTTTCTTGTATCTCAACACCTCTTGGTGTGCTTCTACTTTGACATTATTGATTAAGTTGAGTAAGACTCGAAGTCCTTCTTTGGAGATTTTCTCGTTAAAATTCTTAGCCTGAGATGCTAGAAAGACTATCAATATTGAAGGGTAAGCTAAATGACAACTGAGCTGAATGACGACTTGCCCAAATCATCTTAGATGTTATTTGGGAACCCCGTAAGATACTCAATAGCTCGTTTACCCAAGTACCTTTTGCTTTAATGACTCACTTCTTTAACCCTTCAAGAATGGCTCGAATGGTGACTCCAATAAGATCGTTGGTTTGAGAATGAGCTATTGGGCTGAACTTTAACTGAACTCTATATTATTAACAAAAATTCTCAAATATTGTATTATTGAATTAATTTCATTATTGATGATTATGACTCTCAGGATTCCAAAGTGGGTGATAATATTCTTTCATACAAATCCCTTGACTTGTTTATCAGTGATTGACGCTAGTGGCTCAACTTTTACCTACTTCGTAAAATATTTCACTCCAACTTTAATGAGAAACCTTTGATGGCCCAATGCTATCCATAACCCATTATACGAAGGGCCATATGCAATCGATCGATCTCAAAAGAACTACTGGCTAATGTTATATCTATGCAAACTTCTAGCACCTATCGTATTTTTGAGAATAGGTTATCACATCCTTGCACAGCATTGGCCAATAGAACCCTTGCCTAAGTACCTTGAATGCGAAGGTTCATCCACCAATGTGCTCCTCATAGATACCTC